AAATTCAAAAACATGAAAAGCTAAGGGACATATTTAACAAAATATGTGCAGCATCTATACACTTGAAACTATAAAACATTGCTGAATCTAAAGACTACATAGATGAAGGAATATTCTATTTTTATGAATCAGAAGACTCAATTTCGTTAGAATGTCAATTCTCTCCAAATTATCCTATAGATTCAATACAAATTCAATCAAAATTCCAGGAAGCCTTTTGTTAATATTGAAAAGCTGACTCTAAGGTTTCTGTGCAAATGTGAAAGACCTAGAATAGCCAAAATAATTTTTAAAAAACTGGGAAACTCACAATACCTTCAAGACTTACTATAAAGATACAGTAATCAAGACAGCATGTTATTGATATATTATCATGTAGATCAATGGACCTATAGACCAATGAAATAGAATAGGAAATTCAAACACAGACCCAAACATATGTCTTCAACTGATTTTAACCACACTAAGTGCAGGTAAAGAAGTGCAGCAACTGGAATCCTTATATATTGCTGGGAGGAATATACAATGGTATGAACAGCGGTTAACATACACTTACCTTACATACCTGCAATTCAATTCCACTCTTAGATATTTTCCCAAGATAAAGGACAACACATATCCACACAAGACATGTTTATGAATGTTGATGCAGTTTTATTCACAATAAGCTACAACAACCTAAATGACGATCAATAGGTGAATCGATAAATAAATGGCGGAATATCCATAGAGTGGAATACTACTCAGCAGTGAAAAGAAATGAGCTATTGATAAATGCATCACCATGAATAGGTCTCTACAGGGTTATATTAAGCAAGAGAATCCAGACATAAGGGCAATGCTTTGTTAATACCATTAATAAGGTGGCTTCTTAGCCCAGTAGGCAGTGCGTCAGTCTCATAATTCCATTAATAAACTTGAGAAATGAAAAATCTACTGTAACAGGAAGTAGCCCAAGGCTGGAGTAGGCATGGAGGTTGACCTGAAGGAGCACAAGAAAACCTTTTGGGTGATGAACATGTTTTATAATTTGGTTGTAGCAGTGATTAGATGTGTGTATAAATCTGTTAAAACACATTGCTACTTATATTTAAAATGACTGCATTTATTACATGTAATTTTAATAAAGTTGAAAATTTTTTTTAAAATTCTAAATATGTAACAAGATATAGTCCATCATTGGATAGGAAGGGAAATGAAGTAGAGTCCTGTGAAGGATAAAGGTAACACTGGATCAGGAGGTATTAGAAGTAGACAAAGTGAGATAAGCAGAATCTGGCTTGGGATGGGTATAGGGATGGGGGAACCAAAAAGAACGCAGGAGAAGGGGTCTTGAGTACCCTAAAGGATGTCAGATGGTGACAAGTAACTCCCAGACCTCTCCCCGGGTGTCTTCTTGGCCAAGTTCTATCAAGTTTTTGAGTAACTGTCTGCAAACACCTCTTAAGGGAATAGAAACTTTTCTTTGTGAAAAGGAAGACAGGTACCTCCTACCAGTAGAGCTTGGAACATTAAGAGCATACTTTTACAGCGTCCATCTTTGGTGAGCGTGAAAGGATCTCAAGAGAGTGTAAGATGATGGATGAGCCATCGACGCTGGAATCAGGGAACTGAGTGCTCAGGCCTTTTCCTGCTTCCTAGCCGTGTTGTATGTATTCAGTGTGAGCTTTCCCCTTGGTTCTCTCATCGGAGACGTGCATGTGGTCGCATTTCTCGTCTCTCCCTTGCCCAACGTGAGGGAACAAGGAGCAGAAAAGCAGCTAGGCCTTGAGTGAGCCTCTCAGCCTCCCGCTGAGGCTCTCCACTCCTTCCCTTGGTCATGGAACACCTCTGCAAAGCTGACCTTTTTGTCACAATCAACTCTTTCCAGACCACACTGTGAGCAGGTATGGGCCACCCCAGACCCAATACCTAAACTTAACCTAGATTACTGGATTTCATCAGTGAATAAAACTGGAGGGCGTCCAAACTCCAACTTGGCCCAAGCTCAAGGCCATTTCATGTCTATATCTGACTTTCCCATAGAAGCACCCAGGGGACACAGGCGAGAGGAAAAGCCATCATGGCCCAGAGAAAGAAGCAGCCATTTTGATGACCTAGTAGATAGTAGGGTTACTACGCCAAGTTTTGAGTCCCTATCCACAAACGGGGGAGTGAGAGGGAATAACCCGAGCTTGCCTGCTGCAAAGCCTCCTAACTCACCCTCATGTCCGCCCTGGCTTCCTTCTTCCTCCTCTTCTCCCCATAGCAGCCTGAGTGATCTTTTAAAAACACAGATGACATCGGGTCCCCTCCATGACTGAAACCCTTCTCACTGCCCTTTGAATAAAGCCCCATATCCTGTAAGGTCTGCATGATTTCTAGGAATGCTTTTCCCTAATGTCACCTTGTGTGACTCATCCTGGATGCCATGCTGTCCAGAAACTGTCATTCTCCCAGTTCTTTCAGGGGCTTTAGTGCATGCCGCTCCACTTCTTAAAGAGCTCTCATTCCATTTCCTTCCCAGCTTTCCCCAGTTCATGCCAGATGTCAGTTACTGGTCACTCTCACGGGGAGGCTTTCCCAAACCTTTGCAGACCACTGTCCAGATGGCCTTCAGGCCCAAGACCTCCTTCCCTAGGCCCACATCGGAGGTTGGCCATAGAAACTGCCCTCGGTCAAACCAATGGCCTGTTGGTGCAGAAGGGCAAATGCCCAGCCTGTGTTTTAATTAGGAAACTCTAGATCTAACCCCAGTCATGTACCCAGGCTGCCATAATCTTAATCCAGTTAGGAAATTCCTCTGTGCTTTTTTTCATTTCGTTTTTCCTTAACAATAATAGTAGGAAAGGAAGGGCCAGGAGGCAGGCGCTGCCATGGAACCAATCAGAAGCCATCGGCTGTTTAGGTCTGTCTAGGTCTCTGTCCCTTTCTTCATGCACATCTTTTTCTCAAATGTGACTTCCTCAGGACAGATGACTTCTCATTAATCTAAGGAGTAACACTAGCATCACACACTCCCCTGAGGGTCCCCTTGCTTTCCCGTCATTCCCATGGAGATTGCTCTCCTGCAGACTAAGTTTCACACACAGCATAAGCTCAGCTCTAAACCACATCAAGAAACGGAGGGCTTGGGAGACATGGTGACAGAGAGAACCAAGAATGCACATCCTTGGGAGAGACGAGCCAGAAACAGCACCTTTCCCCTCTGGTCTCTAGGAAGACACCTTTCCCACATTCCAGCCCCACATACATCAGGGTTGCTGCTCTGGGCTTTGTGGTGACATAGGGTGAGCCTTTACGATATCAGCCTAAGGCTTGGAGATGCTGTGGCTTGTGCTGCCACTCACGCAGCAGAGCCACCCCACTCCAGCTGTGCAGAAGCCCCTGTCACCCATGCCAGCTGTAATACACAAGTCAGGGGCATTGGACTACCTATCTGACGTCACTCGTGTCACCGAGTGGAACCATTAGGCAGGAATCTCTAGACATAAATTTCTTAATGCGAGCAGCTTCAGAGGACGACGCTGTGCTTGGTGTCTAAGGTGAGTGGCTTAGATTTGTGCATGCGCCAGGCTCAGACACCAGGATTAGGTTTCAACTTAATCAGTGCTGTGTGCAGATTTCAGGCCTGCTGTTCAGGTTTGTCAGTGGGATGAGTATAAATCCAATGAAGGGATAAACCCTCTTCTTTAAATTGGAATATCACTGCTGGTGGCCAGGACACAGCCTCAGATGCAGCTTTTCTGGGGCCAGAGAGAAGGCTAGAATAGATCTACGAGTATATACAGCTTTTTGCTCTTTCGTCTCCTGATAGTTTTATTCTAGTGCTAATTTTAGTGGACAATTGAAGTTTTGTAAAGTACTCTTTTAAGTGACTTGAAATTCCAAGAAACAGCATAAAGCTGTGGAAATTCCCCTCTCTCTCCTCCTCCTCCCCCTCCTCCTCTCCCTCTCCTTCTCCCTCTCTCTCTCCACACACATGTTGATCCGAAAGAAGGCAGAGAGATGACGGGAGAACAATGACAGGTGTTTGTTGACCACTCAGCACGTGGTGTCGCTGTACTAAGTGGTGGACTCACTTCATCTTTGCAGCAGCCCTAGCATTTTATAGCTGAGCAAACAGAGGCTCCGACAGGGAAGTAATCGAGAGGAGCAATTTACGTTCCACAAAAGCGAGTGTCAGACCAGAACTCAAACACATGTCCAAGGTCACACCCCAAACCACCACGCGTGCGAGGCGGCGGCGGAGTGCAGGGGAGGCCCGCAGCAGCCACGCAGCGTCACTGAGCAGCGTACTACGGACCCAGGCACTGGCAGCGCAGCCACCTGCTTCTGAGGCTGACCCCTGTGACCCCAGGTCCTTTCTGCTCTCTCTTTGCAAGTACAGACCAGATGATCTCCTTAAAGAAAGCTAATGTGTTGACTCAGAGCTCTGAGTAAGGGTCCTCAGCAGACAGACAGCCTAGAAAGGCTTGAAGGGACCATTTAAAACTGTCCCTGGCGCACGGCCTCTGGGTCATGACACGGACCCCGCAGCCCAACTCTTGGGAGCTTCTGCGTGACTCACACTGATGCTCGCTAGTTCCTTCCGTGCTCCCTCCCCTCCCTGTCTTTCTCTGGTTTCCCTCTCAAGTTTGGCCTCCTCTCTTGCTTCTCTATCTCCCTTTGGTTTCCTTCTCCCTAAGTGTCCGTGTCTGTTGCTGTGTTGTCTTAATCCGCTCCCCTCTTTTGTTCTCTCTCATCAATGAATTTCCATGATTTGACTTCTATGGCTCCCTAACTCTGCCTGTGATTCTCATATTCCCATGTTGTTATTTTCCTTTATCTCCCTCTCTCTGCCTTTCTGTTTGTCACTGACCATGGACTTGGCCTTTCTTGTCCTATTCTCTTTGTCTCTGTTTCACAGTCAATTATTTTCTCTCTCTCTCTTTCATAGATAGATAGATAGATAGATAGATACTCTCCTTTCCATCTCTCTCTCTCGTTTCCCTTCCATGCAGGGACCCAGCCTCTGGATCATGGCCAATCTGAGCCACCCTTCCGAATTCATCCTCTTGGGCTTCTCGTCTTTGGGTGAGCTGCAGACTCTGCTCTATGGGCCCTTCCTCGTGGTTTATCTCCTCGCCTTCATGGGGAACGCCGTCATCATCGTCACGGTCATCGCCAATGCCCACCTACATACGCCCATGTACTTCTTCCTGGGCAACTTTTCCCTGCTGGAGATCTTGGTGACCGTGACCGCGGTGCCCAGGATGCTCTCAGACCTGCTGGCCGCCCACAGGGTCATTTCCTTCACCGGCTGCATGGTCCAGCTCTACTTCTACTTCTCCCTGGGTTCCACCTCCTTCCTCATCCTGTCAGACATGGCCCTTGACCGCTTTGTGGCCATCTGCCACCCACTGCGCTACAGCACTCTGATGAGCTGGGCTGTGTGTGCCCGGCTGGCAGGGGCTGCCTGGGCAGCGCCTTTCCTAGCCATGGTGCCCACTGTCCTCTCCCAGGCCCATCTCAGTTATTGCCATGGCAATGTCATTAACCACTTCTTCTGTGACAATGCACCCCTGCTGCAGCTGTCCTGCTCGGACACCAGCCTGCTGGAACTCTGGGACTTTGTGATGGCGCTGGCCTTTGTCCTCAGCTCCTTCCTGGTGACGCTCATCTCCTACGGCTACATCGTGACCACCGTGCTGCGGATCCCGTCTGCCAGCGGCCGCCGGAAGGCTTTCTCCACGTGTGGGTCTCACCTCACCCTGGTCTTCATTGGCTACGGCAGCACCATCTTCCTATATGTCAGGCCCGGCAAGGCACACTCTGTGGAACTCAACAAGACTGTGGCCTTGGTGACATCAGTCCTCACCCCCTGCCTCAACCCCTTTATCCTCACCCTCCGCAATGAGACATTCAAGGCAGTGCTGCGGGGACAGGTGCAGAGGCTGAAAGGCCTCCACAAGGCACTACCGCAGCCCAAGAGACCCGGCGAGGCTCAGTCCAGTAGTTCTGCGAGGGGGACAGAGTACCAGCCGGGTGGGAAGGCCACTGCCAAGTTTCTTTAGGTTTTTTCCTCTGAGTGATAACCACAATGTGTCTTCTGTGCTACCCTGTCTGGCCCAAAGCTCTCTAGGCCACCAAGGAGGGGTTCCCCATGCCTGTGAGCAGCTACAAGAATTCTGAAAGTAGTCCAGAGTCTGGGGAGCCAGGAGTGGGGCTTTCAATAAAAGAAACTACATGGGTACAGCGTCATGTTCTCTGGTCAAGAGATGCCCACCCAGCACCAGGGGCTGTGTGTGTGTGTGTGTGTGTGTGTGTGTGTGTGTGTGTGTGTGTGTGTGATTCCTGGAAGCCTATTAGGTCCCATATTCCCTTTGGAATGAAACACCAGCTCCACTGCCCTTCCCTCCCCCAACTGAGATTTTTTAAATTCTCAGAATTATGGTATTCTCTTAGCTTTCACCTATCCTGGATTTTCTAAAACAGCCCCAATTTAAAATAGTCTGCCAAACTCTTTCGACAAATACACTTCAATTTACCAAACTACATTTCCCAATACCGTACAATAACTTCACTCGTCAAGAAAGTACACCCAGCCCCACTTACTTTTAAGACAGCAAAAGCTACTAATTTACCACAAATGTCAAGCTTTTTAAAAGTCTACTATGTGGAAATAAACCAGGCAGGGAACTGTGGGCTCATTTGGTGGGTACAGTGTTTAGCTTTGGAGCCGTGGCCCACTTAGGGGTCCGTGGTTGTCACTGAGGACTTCTGGTGTCCCCCCAGGCTATCCCCTTCCCTAATGCAGGTGCCCCTCTCTCTGACTTTCTCAAAAGTTTGTTTCTTTCCTGCTGAGATGCCCCTCACCCAACAAAGAGGGTCCCTTTAGGTTCCTAGTTTCAGCTTCTGGTTGAAAACTTGGTCTCCTCCCCTTACCCATCAGAACAATGACTGGTGCTTCCTAAGGCTGTTGCATCAACTGGTTTATTTTCTTTCACTATTCTCTGCTCAACACCTCAAAGAGTAAATATTTGTAGAATAAATGAAAGGATGATGAAGATATTAAAAATAATCCTACTTTACATATTTTGGATATTAGCCCCTTATTGGAGGTGCTGTTTGCAAATCTCTTCTCCCATTCGGTTGGTTGCCTCTTTGTTTTCTTGGTGGTTTCTTTTGCTGTGCAGAAGCTTTTTAGTTTGATACGGTCCCATTCATTTATTTTGGCTTTTGCTTTCCTTGCCTTTGAGGTCAAATTTATAAAATCCTCCCTGAGCCCAAGGTCCATACGTTTAGTACCTATGCTTTCTTCTATGCAATTTTTTGTTTCAGGTCTTATGTTTAGGTTCTTTGATCCATTTTGAGTTAATTTTGGCATATGGTGACAGAGCAGTCTAGTTTCATTCTTTTGCATGTGGCTTTCCAATTATCCCAGCACCATTTCTTTTTGTTTTTGGCTCCTTTGTCAAAAATTATCTACCCTATATATACGCAAAACGCAATATATAGATAATGTATTATAGGACTGTACACTTGAAATCTATATAATTTTACTAACCAATGTCACCCCAATACATTTAACAAAAATTTAAAAAAAAACTATCATTCAGAGGTTAACAAAATAATTCTACTGCTACTACCTTAGCTGTGTGAGTGTGTGTGTGTGTGTGTGTGTGTGTGTGTGTGAATTCACACTTTACCAACCACTTTTACAGATATTTTACACTTGGTTGCACCCTCACAGTCATTCAATTAAATACAAATTCACTGATCACTCACCATGAGCAATGCACTCTGCTCAGCACTGACTGTTCAAGATCAAAGAAAGGTGGACTGCAACCTCAAAGAGTGTGAGAGACAGGAGGAAGCACAGCCAATGCGCTAACGCACTTGATAAGGGGTTTTCCTCCTTATAAGGAGAGCCATGAGGGCCCAGCAGGAAAATGCTGATTCTCGGGCTGCAGCTGAGCAGTGTTTCTGACCCACTAATGGGTAAGTTTGGGATGCATAAGTGTCCTTTGAAAGATGCTTCACTCACCGAAATCACGGGACATATCTGATTCCAGCAAACCTCGTCGTGGGTACAGTGAGTATTAATGTGGAAACTTCTACATGCTAGGGCAAAAATTCTGTATTCCCAAAAGATGCTATTTACCTTCGGTGCTGGAATTTTATTGCCTTTGGCTTTGAAAATGACCTACGTAAGTTCAGAAAGAGCTCAGGATGAAAATCTTGGGGCCTACGTCCTGGTGACTATCCAGAAATAGGGCCTGGGATGAAAGTCCTTAAGGGAAGACGGCTCCAATAACAGGGAATACATCCTCAAATCCCTCTTCCAGTGCCCTTCACGGTGTCGAGGCTGAGCCAAGGACTTTCTCATACAATTTCCTGATTGCAACTTCTACCAGCAGAGTGCCTAGGTCAGTGGCCCTCAAGGATTATTGTGCATGTGAGTCACCCAGGGCTCCTGTTAAAATGCAGACCATGACTCAGTAGGTCTGGGGTGGGCCCGAGTGTCTGCAGGTGTGTGTGTGTGTGTGTGTGTGTGTGTGTGTGTGTGTGTTATTACAAATTATTATGGACTTTTATTCTTAACTTTTTTATTAGTTTCAGGTGTACAACACAACATAGCGATTAGACGTTTATATACCTCACAAAGCGACAGCCCCAGTAAGTCTACTACCCACCTGGCACTGTACATAGTTATTACAATATTATTGACTATATTCCCTATGCTGTATTTTATGTCCCTGTGACTATTTTTTTTTGTAGTTGACATTCAATATCATCTTATATTAGTTTCAGGTGTACAGTGCAGTGATTAGACAGGGATATAATTTGTGAAGTGATCCCCCCATAAGTCTGGTGTCCATCTGAAAGTTTGCATTTGTAACAAGCTCTCAGGAGATGCCAATGCTGTTCCAAAGCCCACCCGTTGAGTAACAAGGGACCACAGGCAAGTTTGTCGAGGATGTCGTGCCTGGGTGATGCTGGCTGTGATGGGATGATTATTGTAGAGGCCCAAGGTGAGCAATACCTCCCCCAACTGACAAGTCAGATTCCACTCCGGAGAGAACACTGTGTAAAACAGGCCATAGGCTGCTCTAGGCTGTTGATTATTTTTAACGTTTTAAGAAGGGAGTGTGCAGAGATGAGCGTAGCAGGAGGGAGTCTCTCAGGGGGAAAATCTGAGTACATGTGTGTGCTGATTATTTTAGGAGGAGAAGCTGAAGAAAAGCGTTTGCATATCAGAAGGAGATAATTGCTTCCCATTTACTTCTTCAGTTTTTCACAAAGTTTACAAGGAGGGTAAATAATTAGTCCATGGGGAGGTGAAGGAGAGAAAGTTCTCAGGATGAAACACTGTTTTCCCTGCTGGTCTTGACTGCAGAATCAAAAGTATCTGCCGCCTTTTGGAGAGGCCCACAAATAGGAATGTGTCCTGCGGTGGTTTAAACAAACAAACAAACAAGCTTCCTTGGAGATCAAGCTACCTGGTAATAAATAACACGAGACTCACACCTCTAGGATGTGTACCCTGGGATGTTTCCCCATCCCTCCATCCCCTTTCTTCACAGCTATGGCTGGATGGGGCGGCCCCTATACTGTGGCTATGCACACTGCAAATTCCAACCAGGGCTTCTCCCCTAGACATCCTGTGAACCGAGCTACCTTCAAAAGTAAGAGGAAGTTTGCATCTACTCTTTGTCCTGTTTTGCTATTCCCAGCCCAGCCCAGATTCAATCTGGTAGAAGAAATCAGACACCACAGTTGCTCCTGCGCCTACCATCTTCCCAAACCATTCCCAAACCATTCCCAAACCATTCCTAGAGCATTCCCAGATTTCCAAGGAATGCCTTCCCTCACCCTTCCTCCCACCCCCTTACCCACAACACCAGTCCTACTTGGACCTTCCCATTAGAAGATCTGGTTTACAAAGATCTGGTTCCCTGTATATCTGCAATGCAAATATCCCAAGCTTGGTGAACTTCCATTTGCATAATAAATTTACATAAGAATATTTTTGGGGAAAAAAGCACAGTACATCTGTCTCAAAGATAGACTCCCACGAACATGTGTCTAAGCTCTGGAAGAAAAAAATCTGGAGGCAGAATTGAAAGGGAAGAGGATAGTCACGCTTCTGTAACACAAGCGGGACCAGAGCCCTGGGTCTTCCACCCATAATGGCAGTTTGAGCCCAAGGCTGGGACATCGGTTGTCTTTCCCCCACAGTCCTCTAGGTAACCTAAGGTGCACAGCAGCAGCATCACCAGCTCCAAACTGATGTGGGTTCCTTATTCATCCTCCAGTCTAATTCACAAACCTCACGCTGGCAGAAGTTCCATTATAACTGCCTCCTTGTCACTTCTGATTCAACAGCATCCCTCATCCTGCGCCCACTCCACACACCATCTGCATCTCTGAGCCTAACTGAGCAGATCACTGTACCCCCTTTATCATGCCAGGTTCTCGCTCCTTGGAACTGCTGCTTGGTCACTTCCTCCTCCGAGAAATGCTGCATCGCAACACCCTCCCTCACCTCACGTCCTACACATATAAAAACTTGCCAGTCTCTTTCCACCATCATAAAAATTCCAACTGCTAATGTCATTTCATTTGGATCTTCCATTGAGCACTCAGGAACTTAGATGACACAGGAGTCAAAAACACCTTTTAGAGGTTGGAAGGAAAGAAGACAATGTGATCAGCAGGAAAATACAAATTGATGAGAATTCATCAAGGAGCTAGTATACTGTTGCTGATAGATATCCAGTAAATTAAATTACCCTGTAATGAGACTACAATGCTCATTAAGAATTTTCTTCATTCCAAGCAACGTACCTCCTGAACCTGCTGAAGAAGCAGGCGTTTGCAGCTCCTCACTCAGTTCTTAGTTATCATCAGCCCATGGTACTATTTCTAATCGAGGGATCTTCGCTGCTGCCATATGTCACACATCCTGACAGTGAGAGTGCCACGGAGGAGCTAGGCTTTCCCAAAACAACGCTAAACACTTATTACAGCAAAACTATGGGTGTCTGACTGCAGCTGCCTAGTAAATAAT